AAGGTACAAAATCAATTTCAGAATTTTTCATCATCATCATCATCATCATCAATGGTGCTACAGCTCTATGAAAAAGCCTCGACCTTCCCAAGTCTATTACGCCAGGCAATCCTATCCATTGCCAACCGTTGCCAGTTTGTTGCGCCTATCTTTCTACCATCTTCATCTACACCATCCTTCCATCTGAGTTTTGGCCTACCCCTTTTTCTACTTCCCACGGGTTGTGACATAAGGATTCTTCTAGGAGGATTGTTCTGCTGTGATCTTGCTAGATGTCCTGCGCATCTTAGTCTTCCTATTCTTATAAGAGATACAGATACAGAATTTTTAAAAACTTAAAATTCTTAATCTGTATAACTTCCTTATTTGAATTTAAAATTTTTCTCTCTTAAAAAATAAATATAAAATGTAGGTATCGTAATCCGACAATCCTGTAATCTAAATTTTGATTTCAACTCATATAAATATAATATTTAATTTCGTCATGTCACAACAAAACACTTTCAAAACCTCAATAAATAACTTATTTTGTGTATATTTAATTGTTTATCATTCTTATTTTCTGATCTTTAAAATAAACACCGCATTAATCTTAAGGAATTAACGTAATGCAGAATGTTACAATTAGGCCGGTGTATAGCGTACAATACATATATTAAAATTATAAAATTATTATAGGCCACGTCAATGCAAAGGTCGGAAGAGAAGATATATAAAAACATAACAGGGGGTGAAAGTAAAAATTTGAATACAAATGATAATGGCCAAAGATTGATTACATTCGCAATTGATAACAGGATGAAAATAATGAGTACGCATTTTAGGAGAAAATAGTACATTGTTTACCGGGTAGGAAAAGCTTAACATTCCTGGACGACTGTGAAGATTGCTAAGTCGAGGCGCAAGCCGAGACTTAGCAACACAGAGTCCAGGAATGTGGCTTTTCCTACGAGGTAAACTTACTATTTTTCCGCAAATCGTTTAAAATTCGACAGATATTGATTGATTTAAAAAAACGCGATAATTTTATTCCCATATAAATGGTGCCTTTGGTGGCACCTAATTATGTCCATTTACTTAGTTTCATTCACATATTTGTTAATAACATTGACTGCTACATATCTTTTTAAGGTAACAATTAACATCGTTTCCATGATTGTGTGGTTCTCATATTGTAATAATTTTTTAGATGAACTGATGATGCTTTCAAAACTCGAAAGCGAAACGTCTTCAAAATAGATAAAGTAGCCTATCAACTTTGTCTTTTATTTCTCCACCTAGAGACCGATATAAGAACCCACCACTCGTCTGAGTGATCCTTATATATATATATATATATATATATATATATATATATATATATATATAAATATATATATATATATATATATATATATATATACGAAATAACAAGAAGTCGAGAGACCTCTCTGATAGCAAATTAGGCGAACCGCAAATTCCACAAGTGCTCCTGACGATGGGTTGAATAACCCGAAACACGTGTCGGGCAATGGTGGAGTTCGATTGAAATGAAATGCAATCTTTTACTTTCATTTAAACGTCTTTCTCTACGTAAAGAGCGAAAAAGATGGTAATTTTCAAAGGTGAATCGTAGATGCATGTCGAAGTAAAAATGTACTTCTAGCGTCGTTAAAAGCCTCTAGCAAGAGGCTTTGAATTTGTGGTTCGCCGGGTTAGTGAACAATGTAAGGGTTAGTGGGATAAATAGGAAATATTTTATACAAGGAGCACCAATGCTTGGCATACGCTGATGATGTGGTTCTCATCAAATATAGCAAAAAGACTGATTCGGGAAAGCTCTAAAATGGGACTGAAAGTTAATATCGATAAATTGAAGTACATGGAAATCTCGAGCGAAAACGAAGTAAACACCAGGGGATCCTTTCAATTGGCGGTGGAGGATGGATCGGTTGTAGAATTCGAGAAGAATGATGAATATATGGACTTAGGTACTCGTATTGATCAGACATGTAAGGAAGAAACTGAAATCAACTTGAGACTAACCAAGAGCAACAGGTTTGCTGGAGCCATGAGCAAAATAATTAAGGTCAAAGATATATCTCTGGACTATGAACAATACCATACAGAACATATTGGAAGCATGGTAACAAAAGATACTTCGCAGAATGTTTGGTGGAAAAGTAGTAGAGGGAGAATGGAGAAGACGAACTAATGCAGAAGTGTACAATTTGTATGCTAAGCCTACAATAACAAAAGTGGCGAAAAAAATGTAGACTAGAATGGCTCGGTCATCTAGAAAGAATGCAAGGTAATATACTAGTGAAGAATATTGCTTGGGAAGTACCTAAGGGCAAATAAAGAGAGGAAGACCAAGAAAGAAATGAAGAGATGTAGTGATGGAAGATGTCAGAGAGATGGAAATCAGAGATTGGAAGCTGATAGCTAAGAACAGAACACGATGGAAATTATTCATCCAGCAATGGGCCTAAAAGGCCTGTTAACGCTGTACATACATACATAGCGAAATATACTCATAGCTTTAATTTTAACTTAAAAAATTCAGTATTGACAAAACTCCACTACTGTTCAGACACAAAATCTCTTTAAACGTATAGAAATTTCTAACATTTAGTTGGTTGCAGGAAGCATCTTCTGTACCTTATTTCTCAGATTTATAACAGAGTCAAGAAAATATGCAAAAGTGTATAATATGCACAGGTATTGCAAAAAAATGAATTAAAATCGGGAAAGAAAAAGCAAGATTCGTCATCTAAGTGTTCAACCTTCTCCTTTTTTGGCTGTCTGTTTGTCGAATGTATAGAGATCTTTCTTGTTCTTCTTATTGTCGTACTGACATCAGGTATACCGCATCAATTTCATATGTCACTAAACCATGTGGTTGCTTTCGCCCAGGGCATGTTCGGCTTTTAAGTTTACCCAGTAAGATGATATTTCGTAGAATATGGCTTCTGTTGCTGACTCCTGTTTCTTCATTAATATTAAATTGTTAATTTTCCAACTTTTGTTATAATCTATTTCTGTACAATTCTCTCAAGCTTTCTTGTTCTAAGCTGATTAGGTTATACCTCTTCTGTATTACTTTCTTCCTTTCATTTCCTTCTTTTTCTTCTTTAGGTTTATTTACTTCAAATGTGATCTTAGCTTTTAATAAGTGATGATCGCTTTCACAGGTGACTCCTCTCAATAAATACTCTTACATATTTTACAATCAAATTTCTCTTCCGTCCTATGATTATGTAATCTATGATTGATTTTAACTCTTTCGTATTTTGCGTCCATGTGTATTGGTGTGTGTCTCTGTGTTGAAAAAATCCATTTGCAATTTTAATTTCATTTTGTTCGCATAGAACGGTATTAGTCTGGTACCATTATCATTTACGTGGTCCTACTCCTATCCCAATTGACCTATAACTGCGTTATGGTGTTTTTTCTAGTTCTGCTGTTTAAGTCTCCCAAGAAGATAATTTCTCGAGATGTGCCGACTTTTGTAACCTCGAAATTCAATTTCTCAAAAAAATCGTTGTTGTTGCAAGATTATGCATTTCTGTCCCCTAATCGAAAGGTTCATTATCAGTATCTCGTTTATGGCCTCCCAAGTAGTTATGTATTTCCTTAGCTTTTTACGTATTAATATGGCAACACCTTGTTGAGCTCTTTTGTCCGAAGTGATCATATTCTTTAATGTTTTATGATCCTTGGCCCATTCGTTTTATTTTGGTGATTACTGTGATGTCTAATTTCAGCTTACTCATTTCATACATTATTTGATTTATTTTAGGTCTAAAACCTGGCACGTTTCAAATTCCGAAATTCATACTCCCTTTTCGTAGTGTACTTCGTCGTTTGTTGATCGATTCATTCTGAGGCGTTTTGCTGGGTTTTTTATCATTTTATTTGCCTTAACCTTATTACCGATGCCTTAACCCCCGACTTGGAGGGCCAGGGTTTAATGTTGGAGTTTTTCTTCTCCCAAACAATTTTATTTCACTGCAGCTTAAAAGCATCATCTACCCTTCGTCTGTAATCCTAGATAAGGAGCCCTTAGAGGGTGCTATCAACTGGGCCAGTTGCACCATGGTTTTTTCAGAGGTGTTACTCCTCTATCCCTCTTTTTTATCCGGGCTTGAGACCGACTGCATCGGTTATAGAGCAACTTAATTCACCCCATACCAATACAGGCAGAGTTAGAATAAATCTACTTTTATCAAAGAAATACACTACAATCACATAAAAAAGAAAGGAATAATCCCAGCTTGCAGAACAAACATCTTAAACAAATATATTAAGAACAAGAGCCAAAAGAAGAAGCACTTAAATAGTAGTGCATAAAAAATTACATCGGTGATCGCCCAAAAACTTCGGCCAAACTGGTAGAACCTTAACAAACATATAACAGAACACAAAAGAGCTTTCAATATTAGAAAAACAGGTTCTACGTATACACTTCACCTTCTACATCATAATCATTCTTTTAATCACCAATTTTAAATTCCCCACATTCAAAATCGTCTTAATCTATATTTATTAAAAGCTAGGGAAATTAATAAATTAAACATTCTGCCGAAAAGCTGTATTCATAATAAATTATGTGGAAGTGTTGGAAACAACAGTTCAATGTTTTAGTGTTAGATTATGATTTATTCCCCAAAATTACGAAAAAGTAGAAAGTATAGTTAATCTGTTATCTCCACCTTTCCAAATATACGTGACATAAAAACCATTGATAAATCGATGTACCATCTACTTTCATTAACCAACGACATGACACAACATAGTATTTTGTGCATTTTATCACTATTTGATAGTCGCAGTCTATGTAATATGAAGATAGCATATCTTTAAAATTTATATTAAACACAAAAAACAATGGGTGGAATGGTTGGAATGCTTTCCTTTTTGTTTTAGTTATTAACTATAATCTTAGAAAAAATATATTATTTACTTATTAATATTTAATCAGACTTGGGTACTTAATATGAATCTCATTGTTCTTCTACGGACTTTGTTAAATTCGTTTCCAACAATAACATCTCATCTGTTTTTATAATTCGAGTTTGCCAATGTCGTTAGTTGAATAGAATGGATCATTGTGAAAAAGTGCAACGGCCACCCCATCCCAGGGAAAACGCAAATATATTCTCTCTTCTTACATTTGGGTAAGGTTAATGACCTTAAAGTTTAAAAAACATATTTATTTTTTTTTAAAATATTTCCATATATGTATATATATATATATATATATATATATATATATATATATATATATATATATATATATGTTTGTTTTGAGGTTTCCGCGGGAGCTATATGTGCTGTCACTATTTTTCCGGGTTTGACTCCGCGTTGTAAAGTGCTGGTTTTCTTGAAAACCATTGTTTTGGCGACGTTTCGGCAAGGTCTCACTTGCCATTCTCAAGCCTGGTGGATCTACTTCTCGTCGTTACTCGATTAGTACTGGTACTGGTATTAGAGTACTAATCGAGTAACGACGAGAAGTAGATCCACCAGGCTTGAGAATGGCAAGTGAGACCTTGCCGAAACGTCGCCAAAACAATGGTTTTCAAGAAAACCAGCACTTTACAACGCGGAGTCAAACCGGAAAAATAGTGACAGCATATATATATATATATATATATATATATATATATATATATATATATATATATAAATATATATATATATATATATATGCTGTCTATATATATATATATTAAAAAAAGTGATTATTTCGACCAAAAAACATAGGTATTACTTCTTAACAAGATCATCAATTATTTTTTACAATCTCTTACTCAAAATTTAGAATTATGTAAGATATTTTTTAACTTACTTTAGCATTACCTTTATTCGCCCCGTGCGTGACCATGGTAGGGGTAAATTGAAACTATGCCAGCGTGCGTAGCGGCGAAATCTGACATTATTGGAATCGCATAAATTTTATCATAGACAAATACTATATGGTTTTTGTCAATGAATTTTATCAAAAATGATTGCCAATAAATGTTGCGTATTTATTTGTGCTAATAATAGCAAAAATAGTGAGTACCTACAGTTTTTATAGGTTTCCGGAGATTACGTATAAATTAGAGAAAAGAAGAAAATGGATTCGTGCTATTAATATGAACAACATGAACAAGTAAATATCACCTAACCTCATTTTTATGACAATTAAAATGGGTGTATATATCAAACAGCTGTTTTTATTTTTTAGTGCTGACGGCTCAGATTGGACTTCAAAACTTAATGATCGAATTTGCAGTGCTCATTTTGTCGGCAATAAAAAATCTGAAATTGAATTAAGTCCCAATTAAATTCCTACTATTTTTCCCTATAATAGCAATAAAATACATAAGGTTAAGCACCAACTAGCACTAAATAGGTATGTCATTTTTTAATTTTTTAAATATTTGTAAATTTTTTTAAAATATTATTTAAAAATTATTTTTTAGGCATGCACGTTTTATAAATAGAAGATTTAAGGAAATAAATATAATGAAAAATAATCAGAATATAGCTTCAAAAAAGAACAAATATAAAATGTTCTAATGAAATGAATGAAATAAAAGAACAATCACCAATTTTAAGAGCAGAGAAAGAATGCCAAGTTAACTTTTTACATAATTTTTCAGAAACTGATAAAGGGAAGTCTTTTACCTGCAATAGATTTATGTACGTTGCTGATAGATGTGACGCGGAAGTACAAACAGATATATGCGATTATCAAAAAGTAGTCATTAAAAACAGTAAACAGTTTAAAGACAAGAATTGTGGTGCGCTGGAAAAGACTTTTATTAATTCATCGAGCCAATGTGATTTTACTAATGATCCATGTAAAAAACACTTTGCGGGCTTTTCATCAATTAAGAATAAAGAACAATTATTAGATATTGCCGGAGTATCACCAAATAACTTTGAATTTTCACTGTCAGCAATACCAGCCCTAGAATCACATAAATATACTGTTTCAAGAGAAAATCGACTTTTAATATTTTTAATGAAAATGAAAGCTGGTTTAACTTTTTCATCATTAAGTGTGATATTTTCTATTCATCGAACAACCATTTCAAGATTTTTTTTTCACTTTTACAACTATTAGTTGTATCAACAAAAGATTTAGTGTTTTGGCCTGACAAAAGCGTACAGTCAACTATGCCTGAATGTTTTAAACCAGAGTACAGTGATACCCGAGTTATAATTGACTGTACTGAATTAAAGATTGAGATTCCTGTAAGTGTTGATAATAGAGTTTATTGTTATTCGCGTTATAAAAAAGGATTTACTGCAATAGTATTAATAGGTATTACGCCAGGTGGTTTTATTTGTCTAAAATCTAAAGTTGCTGAAGGAAGAAAAAGCGATACACAACTGACTATTGAGAGTGGACTAATTGATTTACTTGAAGATGATGATAAAGTTCTAGCTGATAAGGGTTTTCCTAATTTCCAAACGAATATAAATGATAGTGGCAAAAAAGTAATACTAGCAATGCCTCCTTTTTTAGACAAAAAAACAGAATTTTCAAAACAAGAAACAAAACAAACATATAGTATAGCAAGAGTATGAATTCATGTTGAACGGATAATGCAGAGATTGAGAACTTATCAGATATTGAGTAAAATTCCAGAAAATTTATTTCATTGTATAGACGATATTATTCATATGTGTTGGGTATTAGTAAATTTACAACCACCAATTATATCGGATGAAAATTAAAAATATTTTTTTGTACGTTACTTACCAATTTGATAATTTAGTTTTATTTTGGGAAAAAAATTGTAACTTATTTTAATTAATAATAAATTTTTAAACAAATTTATTTCTTAAATCATTTACTTTCACAACCTTGAAGAAAATACATATTACAAAGATTACAAACAAGTATTACACATAAATTCAACAACTTACTTATAACTACAAAAAAGTGAAATCAAATAATTATTTTATTTTTATAAGTATTACTTACATCTAATCCAGTAAAGCATTGTACTTGACTCACATCTTTGTCTTTATTTAAATTATTTTTATTAATCCGACTAGATTGAGCTAATGCAGGTAAGTAATATTTAAAATAAAATGTCTCGCTCTTCAAAACAACACTTTTTAGAAACTTTTCATCCCTTTTTACTGGAACATTGCAAATACCAGCTGCCGAATAAACAAATAGATCACACTCGTTAAAGCCTGATAAGTAAATTTGTATTTGGCACTGAGTATAATATTGAGAACTTGCTTTTAATACTACTTGGCCATTTACTATTTCTAAATAACTTACATTGCACTTTTCATCATCAACAATGGGAATTTTTTTACACGAACTTGGACATTTAAATTCTACAGGCTTGATTATTTTGTTAGAGGAAACCATAACACCATCTAAACTTCCACACAGCCATGGTTGTTTCACACTAATAAATAAACCAACTTGTCTGACTTTACAATTAAATAATACCTCATATGTTGCTCTAGCAATTTTTTCAGTGCGCTTTCCATATTCAGTAGCTGCTGTTTCTACCTTCTTTGGATTTAAAATTTCATTGACTAAAGAATTAATTGTTTTTCTTGTTCTTATCTTAATACTATGAATATTACTGCTAGCTGAAAATCTGAGATTTCTCTCTACGTGCCACTGATCATCTGAACATTGTTTCAATGTATTGCAACAAATTTTGACACACTCTTCGTTATTGACCACAATTAGTTTTATTATATATTTCTTGTAAATCCATTGTAAGAGGTATATAATTTGAATAAATTAAATTCTTACTTGAAAATTCTACAAAAATTTTAACACATTCTTTGCAATAATCTTTTAGAACAATTTTGTCTACATTATTTACCATATCTTTCATTAACTGTTGAATATCTCTCTCAGTTTGAGTTTTTTTGGCTTCTATTAATAACTCTTTAAGAGGCGATTCATCAACTAATTTAGTAAAATCTAACTGACATTGCTGAACTGTAAGATTCTTTTTTGGAGGATACATTTCCTCAAATGACTTTCCTTTTGCATAGTTTTCTTTCGCAAATTGTCGTACACTAGGCGTTCCCCATTGCTGTTTAAAATCTGTCTTGGATAAATTATCTTCATTATTGACATAGTAAATTAGACCAGCAATGTGTTTGCATATTTCGCTTTTGTTATAAATACAGGTACAACATGTCTTAATCACTAGGCGAGTATCATCGAGCTAGAATAAGAAATAGGAATGATTTTTATATGATTTGTCCTCTTTTATGCATATGTTTTTTTAAAATTTAAATAATATACCTTTAATAATGTTTCATAGGGCTTCAAGCTAACTGAAGCCTGTCTGATGACTTGATCTTTTATTTCATATCTTTTTCTGTTATTGTTTTTAATTATATGCTCTTCCACATGACAAACGTGATTTGCCAATACTAGATTTCTCCCTTTCCTTTCCGTTTGGGGTTGAAAAGATAAATTGTGATGAACTTTTAGAAATCCACTTCTTAAAACTACATCCATTTTATATATAAACTGAAAAAATATAATTAAAAAAGTTATTATTAGTAATTGTCAATGTCGTATGCATTGATCGTGTGTTTAACCTCAAATTGGGAGGTCCCAAATTGTCAGATGAAGGCGGTAGGTGTCGCGTCAGTCACGCACGGAGCGAATATATAGGAAATAATTATAAGTTTCTTAATTTTAGGTAAGGATCATTTAAATTACTTACAGTTGAAATAAGTTCTAATTCATCGTCACTATCATTGTCGGAAACAATGTTAGTTGTCTTTAAAATCTCTAACACAACTTCTTCTTTAAGTTCCATCTTCTATCGAAGTATGGAAATCATCATGGCTATGCGGACCCTGTTGACTACCGCTCTAAATCATTCTGCACCACCTCATTCAAACCATTCCCTCAAGTTCTTAAGCCTATATTCATGCTCTTTCCATATTTCGCTTTCCCCGAATTTTGCCTTGCATAATAACTTGCATAATACTAACACAACTAGCTAAGTTTATTTCAGGATTTTCCGTCAACAGGTAGTTGAAAAAATTTTCAACTCCATAACTTTCGCAAAAGGTTGACAATGGCGAATCATCTTCTAGGTCTTGTAGCTCCAGATTTTCCACAATTTCTTCTCTATAACTATCGTTTGTTAAATGAATCTGAATACCTAATGAAACA